CCTCTCCCCTGCCTCCTCCCTCCCTTCCCTCCCCCCTCATCCCCCTCCCCCTCTCCCCTACCTCCTCCCTCCCTTCCCTCTCCCCTCATCCCCTTCCCTTCCCTCTCCCTCACCCCTCCTCCCCTTCTCCCTCTCCCTTCCCCTCTCCCCTACCTCCTCCCTCCCTTCCCTCCTCCTCTCCCCTACCTCCTCTCTCCCTTCCCCTCTCCTCTACCTCCTCCCCCTCTCCCCTACCTCCCCTCGTCCCCCTCCCTTTCTCCCCTCATCCCTCTCCCTTCTCCCTTCCACTCTCCCCTACCTCCTCCCTCCCTTCCCTCTCTCCTTCCCCGTCTTCACTACCTCCTCCCTCCCTTCCCTCATCCCCTTCCCTCTCCCCTCATCCCCTTCCCTTCCCTCTCCCTCACCCCTCCTCCCCTTCTCCCTCTCCCCTTCCTGCCTCCCTTCCCCCTCTCTCTCCCTCCCTCCTCCCCCCCGCAGGTAGTACCCCCAGAACAGCCCCTCTTCGGCGACGGCTACACGGGGCTGGTCGTCTGTCACTTCTGGCGCTTCGGCGAGTGGGTGACGGTGTGCATCGACGACCGCCTGCCCACCAAAGACGGCGTCCTCATGTTCGCCCGCAGCGCCGACGCGAGCGAGTTCTGGGTGGCGCTCGTCGAGAAGGCCTACGCCAAGTGAGTTTGGTGGGGGTGGGGGGGTGGGTGAGGAGAGGGGGATTGGAGGGAGAAGGAGGGGGGGGGGTGGAGGGAGGGGGGGGAGAAGGACGGGTGGTTGGTGGAGGTAGGGGGGAAGGGGAGGAGGAGGGGGTGGAGGGATTGGGAGGGGGAGGGGGTAGAAGGAGGGGTGGTTGGGGTAGTGGTAGGGGGTGAAGGAGGGTGGAGGGGGAAGGCCTATGAGAAGTGAGTTTGGTGGGTGGGGGGAGGGGGGGGAGGGATTGGGAGGGAGGGGGGATTGGGTGGGGAGAGGGGGAGGAGGAGGGGTGGTTGGGGGAGAAGGCCTATGTGGAGTGAGTTGGTGGGGGAGGGGGGGGAGGGAGGAAGGAGGGGGAAGGTGGGGGTGTAGGGTGCTCGTCGAGAAGGCTTATGCGAAGTGAGTTGGTGGGGGGAGGGAGGAGGGGGAGAAGGGGGATGGTTGGGGGAGAAGGTGGGAAGGGGAGGGAAAGAGGGGAAAGGAGGGAAGTAGAGGGTGAGAAGGAGGGAAAGATTAAAGGAGGAAAGGAGGGAAAGAGGGGAAAGGAGGGAAGGAGGAAAAGGAGGGGTTGAAGAGAAGAAGAAGGTGAGGAGAAGGAGGAAAGGAGGGAAGGAGGGAAGTAGATGGTGAGGAGAAGGAGGGAAGGAGGAAAGGAGGAAGTCCATATCGATATCAAGCTAAATCCGCCTCCACGTGAATCTCCGACCGAAAATCTAAAAGAGATTTGGCCCATGTTGACTGCCATTTTCACGCATCGTCGACAAAAGCCAATGTATAACTATTCCGGACCTAAAAAGGAACTTCCAGGAGTATATAGACCTTGCAACAAATACCCCTTGCAACAAATACCCGCCGCTGCAAATGTAACAACACCGCCTTACCCTTACAAGAAAGTTCCTCCGGTTTATAACACGAAATAAAAACAAAAAACTCGAAAATGGCGGATTATTTTATAGCCATTTTGTGACACAAGAGGGAGAGGAAAAGTTACTTTAGGTGGACTATAAGATAAGTTAATACTTTGTTTTATAGTTATGAGAAGCGGAAGAGAGGGGAAGAGAGAGGGAGAGAGGGGAAGAGAGAGGGAGAGAGGGGGGAAGGGAAGAGAGGGGGAGAGAGGGGGAGGAAGGGAAGAGAGGGGGGGAAGGAAAGAGAGGGGGAGGAGAGAAAGAGAGGGGGAGAGAGAGGGAGGGAAGGGGAGGAGGGGAAAAAGAGGGGGAGGAGAGGGAAGAGAGGGGGAGAGAGGGGAAGAGAAGAGGAGAGAGGGGAAGAGAGGAGGAGAGGAAGAGAGAGGAAGAGAGGGAGAGAGAGAGAGAGGGATGGGAGGGGGAGGGGAGAAGGGGGAGAGAGGGGGAGAGGGGGAGGGAAGGGGAGAGGTTTTATGATCGAGTTAGGGGCAAGAATCACCTGAGACAGAATTAGGTGAAATGTGTTTGTGTTTGAGGAGTATTTTGTTATATAATCGTCTGTGTTTTATTATTATTGTTATTATAGAATGGAGTTCTTTCACACGAGGTTTCATTTTAGATGGGCAGATTTGATGCTTAATTGTGTGCTGAATTTCTAGATTAATTTTGAACTTTTTTTCTGATTCTCCTATTCCCCTTCCCCTTCTCTTTCTTTTTTTATTTTGATTATCCTCTTCTCGCCTTTTCTCTTTCATCTTCACCCTTCTTTCTCATCTACCATTCCTTCTTCCTACTCTTCCTCTTTCTCTGACTCTTGTCATTCCTCTTCTTCGTCCTCTATTCCCTCTTCCTCTCTCTCTCTCTCCCCCCCCCCCCCCCGTGATCTCTCTTTATTGTCTTCTTTCTTGCTCACTCTCCTTCTATCTCTCCTTAAACTTCCATCTTTATCGCATTCTCTTTTTTCCACTTTTATCACCTCTGCTTTATCTATCTCCACCTCCCTTCACTACCTCCTTTTTTCTCCGTCTTCATCACCTCCTCTTTCTTTATTTTTATCTCCTCCTCTTTCTCTACTTTCCTCACCTCCTCTTTCTTCACCTTCATCATTGCCTTTTTCTCTATTTCCATCATTTGATTTTTTCCACCATTTTCATCACCCCCCTCCTCTCAATACCTTCTTTACCTCCTTTTTATCAACCTTTATCACCTCTTTCTTCACTTTTCATCTCCTCTTCATTCTCTCCACCTCCATCACTCCCTTTTTCTCCTCCTCCCCCTCTCCTCTTCCTCCACCTCTCCCTCCCTCGTTCTCTCCCCCTACATCACCTCCCTTTCCTCCTCCTTCACCTCCTCCTCTTTCTCCCCCTCCCCCCTCCTCTTCCTCCACCTTCACCACCTTTTCTCCGCTTTTCCCTCCTCTTCCTCCCCCTTCACCACCTTTTCTCCCCCTCCCCCCCTCCTCTTCCTCTCCCTTCACCACCTTTTCTCCGCTTTTCCCTCCTCTTCCTCCCCCTTCAACCACCTTTTCTTTTCTCCGCTTTTCCCTCCTCTTCCTCCCCCTTCACCACCTTTTCTCCGCTTTTTTTTTTTTTTCTTTCCCTCCTCTTCCTCCTCCTTCACCACCTTTTCTCTCCGCTTTTCCCTCCTCTTCCTCCCCCTTCAACCACCTTTTCTCCCCCTTCACCACCTTTTCCTCCGCTTTTCCCTCCTCTTCCTCCCCCTTCAACCACCTTTTCTCCGCTTTTTTTCCCTCCTCTTCCTCCCCCTTCACCACCTTTTCTCTCCGCTTTTCCCTCCTCTTCCTCCCCCTTCACACCACCTTTTCTCCGCTTTCCCCTCCTCTTCCTCCTCCTTCACCACCTTTTCCTCCGCTTTTCCCTCCTCTTCCTCTTCCTCCTCCTTCACCACCTTTTCTCCCCCTTCACCACCTTTTCTCCGCTTTTCCCTCCTCTTCCTCCCCCTTCACCACCTTTTCCTCCGCTTTTCCCTCCTCTTCCTCCCCCTTCACCACCTTTTCTCCGCTTTTCCCTCCTCTTCCTCCCCCTTCACCACCTTTTCTCCCGCTTCCCCCTCCTCTTCCTCCCCCTTCACCACCTTTTCTCCCCCTCCCTCCTCCTCTTCCTCCCCCTTCACCACCTTTTCTCCCCCTTTCCCCCTCCTCTTCCTCTCCCCTTCACCACCTTTTCTCCGCTTTTCCCTCCTCTTCCTCCTCCCTTCACCACCTTTTCTCCGCTTTTCCCTCCTCTTCCTCCTCCCTTCACCACCTTTTCTCCGCTTTTCCCTCCTCTTCCTCCTCCTTCACCACCTTTTCTCCGCTTTTCCCTCCTCTTCCTCCCCCTTCACCACCTTTTCTCCGCTTTTCCCTCCTCTTCCTCCCCCTTCACCACCTTTTCTCCGCTTTTCCCTCCTCTTCCTCCCCCTTCACCACCTTTTCTCCGCTTTTCCCTCCTCTTCCTCCCTCTTCACCACCTTTTCTCCGCTTTTCCCTCCTCTTCCTCTCCCTTCACCACCTTTTCTCCGCTTTTCCCTCCTCTTCCTCCTCCTTCACCACCTTTTCTCCGCTTTTCCCTCCTCTTCCTTCTCCTTCACCACCTTTTCTCCGCTTTTCCCTCCTCTTCCTCCCCCTTCACCACCTTTTCTCTGCTTTTCCCTTCTCTTCCGCCACCTTCATCACCTTTTCTCCGCTTTTTCCCTCCTCTTCCTCCCCCTTCACCACCTTTTCTCCGCTTTTCCCTCCTCTTCCTCCCCCTTCACCACCTTTTCTCCGCTTTTCCCTCCTCTTCCTACCCCTTCACCACCTTTTCTCCGCTTTTCCCTCCTCTTCCTCCCCCTTCACCACCTTTTCTCCGCTTTTCCCTCCTCTTCCTCCTCCTTTACCACCTTTTCTCCGCTTTTCCCTCCTCTTCCTTCTCCTTCACCACCTTTTCTCCGCTTTTCCCTCCTCTTCCTCCCCCTTCACCACCTTTTCTCCGCTTTTCCCTCCTCTTCCTCCCCCTTCACCACCTTTTCTCCGCTTTTCCCTCCTCTTCCTCCCCCTTCACCACCTTTTCTCCGCTTTTCCCTCCTCTTCCTCCCCCTTCACCACCTTTTCTCCGCTTTTCCCTCCTCTTCCTCCCCCCTTCACCACCTTTTCTCCGCTTTTCCCTCCTCTTCCTACCCCTTCACCACCTTTTCTCCGCTTTTCCCTCCTCTTCCTCCCCCTTCACCACCTTTTCTCCGCTTTTCCCTCCTCTTCCTCCTCCTTTACCACCTTTTCTCCGCTTTTCCCTCCTCTTCCTTCTCCTTCACCACCTTTTCTCCGCTTTTCCCTCCTCTTCCTCCCCCTTCACTACCTTTTCTCCGCTTTTCCCTCAGACTCCACGGCACCTACGAGGCTCTTGAGGGAGGGCAGAGCATGGACGCCATGGTCGACCTCACAGGAGGCCTGGCTGAGAGGTACGACATGGAGGATACGGAGAATCTGAAAAAGCTCTACACTCACCTCCTGAAGAGCTCGAGAAATGGAGCTTTTATCACGTGTTCCAGAAAGGTAAGCTAGTTCAAAGGTGGTCCTCGGCGATTTTTTTTTTTTTTTCATGCGGTATTTTCTTTTTTCTCTCTCTCTCGTTTCTTTCTTTCTTTCTTTCTTTCTCTGTTTTCGTGCTTTAACGATCTTCATGGATCTTATCTTTCTCAGTTACATGCGTATGTCTGTTGTCCTTAGATCATGTTTATCTTTATCATGGTCATTTATATATGGAAGAAAAAAAAATTGATGCAATTTGCTGCTTCTCTCCAGGAACCGGGTCCTTCCATCACCCTCGCGCTCCTTGATGTAAGCTACAAGAAATTAAATACATTAGTCTGTCCTCTATCTCAGATATCGTTCGCTTTTGCTGTAAATCCGTTCACAGTGTACTTTCAAATCACTACTGTACCCGCTTTATCATTAGTATTATCGCCATCACCTTCATTGTCTATCTTTTTTTTTTAGGGGGGGGCGTAGTCTTGTAGAGATCATTAGACATTATCCGACCCACTGTAGTTTCAGAGGCACTGATCACCTCCTGTCTTCGAGAAACTTTTTTTTTTCCCTTTTTTTTAACGAATCTAATCCTTCGCCACGTACCCAAACTACCTCCGAGGGATAAGCTATGACTACGATTTGATCCCATTAAACCCCTGGCGCCGAGCCTAATTACACGTTTCCTTGCTTATTAATTAAACCGTAGCTAGCCCTGTTATTTCGAAGGCGCTTCATTGAGCTCAGACCAGTTCTCAATCATCAGGGATTTTGTGTCTGCTTCCTTATATCTGAATATGGTACTTGTTTATCATAGAGCTTTATTTCTTTGCTACTGGATTCCCTTTACGTGAATCGTGTATGTATATATATATATATATGTATATATATATATATATATATATATATATATATATATATATATATATATATAATGTATAAACACACACACGCACACACACACACACACACACACACACACACACACACACACACACACACACACACACACACACACACACACACGCACACATACGCACACACATATATATTATGTATACACACACACAAACACACACACACACAAATACACGCACGCACGCACACACACACACACACACACACACACACACACACACACACACACACACACACACACACACACACACACACACACACACGCACACACACGCACACACACACGTACACACACACACGTACACACACACACACACACACACACACACACACACACACACACACACACACACACACACACGCACACGCACGCACACACACATATATGTGTATATATATGTAAATATATATATATATATATATATATATATATATATATATATATATATATATATATATATATATATATTTATGTATGTGCATATATAAGTATATATATATATATATATATATATATATATATATATATATATATATATATATATATATATATGTATATATATATATATATATATATATATATATATATATATATATATATATATATATATATATACACATATATGCAAAAAAATATATATATTTTTACTGTGAATATGTGCATATGTATTCTTCTGTGCTGTAGACTATATGTAGTGTTTATGTCCTGTTTCGACGTACTGTGATCAGTGGCGGATCCAGGATATTTCAAAGGGGGGGGGGAATTGATGAACAATAAGATAATGAATATGATGTTATAAATGTCGTTTTACGCATGGTTTCGACGCACAAGTTCTATAGGTTGTCACTTGTTCTGAGACTCAAACTCCCAAATACAGACAAGTACTTGGGGCTCTTTTCCTGGAAGCATTTTCTTCAAGTTTATGTCACTTGATGCTATGAATATTACATCAATAATAAGTAGGAGATCCAATTCTCATGTTAAGGGGAAATAAACAGTACACATAAAACATCAAAACGTTTTCTGTCAAGTAAACAATATGCACTGTTGCTATCATCAGGTATTCCGTTGCTAATGATAACGCCTTTGCATTGCTGTCTAAACCAATCATATGTTTATGCATACCGCGAATTGTTCTGTTAAAGGGGGTGACACATTTCACATGGACCCGTCTCTGATTGTAGTGCATTACCACACAACCACATAACCACACAACCACACAACTGTTATCTTAGATGGTTTGCCTCTTGGGTTAGATATAGTGATAGTCCCAAGCATGTGTTATTGATTATATGTTTAGATTAACAAGGGGTATATGTATCACTCTAAATTTAGATGTCTGTAATTGTTATATGAATAAGATTTTTTTTTTCAAGGCTACAGTAACATAAGTTAAATTTTTCATATAAGTTTATGGTAAATTACACGTGAGAAAATATACATACAAATGCAATAACAAGCAGTAAACCGACTGTTTATTTATTGTCCGTCCAAGGAACAGTTTTTTCACACCTCTATCCATCATTTATACAAATTAAACTGAAACACAATATCTATCCTCGTCCTCGCCTCCGTCCCCCACCCTTCCTCCCTCCCTCCCTCCCTCCTTACATTCCCTCCCTCCCTTCCTCCTTTTCTCCCGCTCTTCCATCCTTCCTCTCTTCCTATCTTCCTCCCTTCCTCCCTTCTATCTTCCTCCCTCCCTCCCTTCTTTCTTTCTCCCTCCCTTCCTTCCTATCTATCTCCCTCCTTCCCTCCTTTCCTATTTTCCTCCCCTCCTTCCCTCCCATTCTCCCTCTCTCCTTCCCTCCCTCCCTTCTTTCGTCCCCCTTCTTACCCTCCCCTCCATCTCTTCTATTTTCCTGTCTCCCTCCCTTCTTTCGTCCCCCCCTCTTCCTACCCTCCCCTCCCTCCCTTCTTCCCTCCTTTCTTCCATCTCTTTCTATACCCCCTCTTGCCTCACCAAACCTGCTCCTTACCCCTCTCTACCTCCCTTATCTCCCTCCCCCTCTACCTCCCCCAACCTCTCACCTCTTTCCCCCCCCCATCTCACCCCCCCTTTACCTTCCATTCCACCCCCCCATCCCTTACCCCTTGCCCGAATACCCCAGGGAGACTGGCGCAATGCCACGAAAGCGGATGAACACGGATTGGTCGAAGGACATGCGTACACGGTGTCTGGCGTAGCGAGGGTCAAACACGAGGAACACGGGACCGTCAATCTTATTCGGGTGAGGAATCCGTGGGCCAGTGGCGACGAGTGGAACGGGAAGTGGTCGGATACGTAAGTATTTGTGTGTGTGTGTGTGTGTGTGTGTGTGTGTGTGTGTGTTTTAGTTTTTTTTTTTCTTTCTTTCTTTTCCTTTTCTTTTCTTTTCTTTTTCGTTATTTTAGTTTGTTTTTTTTTAGATTTTCGTTTTTTGTTTACTTTTATTGTCTTTTTTTGTTGTTGTTTTTTTGGGGGGTTTCCTTTTATTGTCTTTTCGTTTTTTTTCGTTTTTTTTTGGGGGGGGGAGGGAAGGAGGAGGTTAGGTTTGGTTTCTGTTTTTTATTTCGCTTCGTTGTTTTTATCTTCTTTTCTTTTTTTCCTTTACTTTGTCCTTCTTATGCTCGTTTTCTGCTTATTTTCTTTCGCTATCTTTCTCTCTCTTTACTCTTTTTCTCTTTTCCTCTTCCAAAAAAAAAGTCATAAAAATAACGAACAGATAAAAAAGATTGCAAGAATAACAAAATAATAATAATAATAATAATAACATGAAAATAAAACACACAAACAGAAAGAAAAAAGACAATGACAAAAAAAAAAAACGTAAATAAAAATACTCAACGCGACGAAATACTCATTAATCACTGTCCGAGTCACGTGGACTGACACTCATGACGTCGCCATGACACTCTTGGCACTCCATGACACCTCTACATCGCAACACTGAAACGTTCCTCGCAACCAATGAACTTTTTTTTCTTCTTTTTTTTTTTTTTTTTTTCTTCTTCTACTTCTTCTGTAATGTTATTGCTTTTTTCTATGATTTTCTTGCTTCGCCGTTGTTGTTGTTGTTGTTGTTTTTTTGTGTGTGTGTTTTTTATCTTTTTTTTACAGTTTATTTGTGTATTTATTTGTCTGTGATTTATTTATCTTGGTTGTGTTTATTACTAAGGAAGAATATCTGGTAATGACGTGAATTTGTGTTGATCTTTTCGTTGAGAAATTTTAATGTTATTGATTTTTTTTCTCTTTCTCTCTTTCTCTTTTCGTCCTCCCTTCATCTCCCTTTCATTTCGTCTTCTTTCTTACTTTCCCTTCTTCCCTCCTCGACATTCTTTATCTCTTCTTCACTTCCTTTCTTCCTCCCTCCCTCCTTCTCTCCCTCTCTCCCATCCACTCTCATTCTCCCTCTCCTTCCCGCCTTTCTTACCCCTTCCTTATTCCCTCTCCCACCTTATACCCCCCCTTCCTTCCTTCCTTACAAATTCCTCCTTCCTTACCACTCTCTCCATTCATCTCTCCCTTCCTCCTTCCTACCTTCCTTACCCACCTTCCTCCCTTTCCCTCTCCCTCCCTCTCTTCCTTCCCTCCTTCTTCCTCTCCCTCCTTTTCCCTCTCCCTCCTTTTCCCTCTTCCCCCTTCTTCCTCTCCCTCCTTTTCTTTCTCCCTCCCTCCCTTCCTTCCCTCCTTCTCCCTCTCCCCCCTTCTCCCTCTCCCTCCTTTTCTTTCTCCCTCCCTCCCTTCCTTCCCTCCTTCTCCCTCTCCCCCCTTCTCCCTCTCCCTCCTTTTCCATCTCCCTCCCTCTCTTCCTTCCCTCCTTCTCCCTCTCCCTCCTTTTCCTTCTCCCTCCCTCCCTTCCTTCCCTCCTTCTCCCTCTCCCTCCTTTTCCCTCTTCCCCCTTCTTCCTCTCCCTCCTTCTCCCTCTTCCTCCTTCTCCCTCTTCCTCCTTCTCCCTCTTCCTCCTTTTCCCTCTCCCTCCTTTTCCCTCTCCCTCCTTTTCCCTCTCCCTCCTCCCCTCTCTCCCATCCTTTTCCCTCTCCCTCCTTCTCCCTCTCCCTCCTTTTCCTTCTCCCTCCCTCTCTTCCTTCCCTCCTTCTCCCTCTCCCTCCTTTTCCATCTTCCCCCTTCTTCCTCTCCCTCCTTTTCCCTCTCCCTCCTTTTCCCTCTCCCTCCTTCTCCCTCTCCCTCCCTCCCTTCCTTCCCTCCTTCTCCCTCCCTTTCCCTTTCCCTCTCCCTCCCTTTCCCTTTCCCTCTCCCTCCCTCCCTCCCTTCCTTCCCTCCCTTTCCCTTTCCCTTTCCCTCTCCCTCCCTCCCTCCCTTCCTTCCCTCCTTCTCCCTCCCTTTCCCTTTCCCTCTCCCTCCCTTTCCCTCTCCCTCCCTCCCTTTCCCTTTCCCTCTCCCTCCCTTCCCTCCCTTCCCTCCCTTTCCTTTTCCCTTTCCCTCTCCCTCTCCCTCCCTTCCCTTCCCTTCCCTCCCTCAGCGACTCCCTCTGGTCAGGCGTGCCCGAGGAGCAGCGGCAGAAACTGGGCGTCAACAGCCTCAGCGACGGAGAATTCTGGATGAGCTACGACGACTTTTGCGAGCAGTTCGAGGAAGTGTCCGTGTGCACCATAGGGCCCGACTTCGACAACGATGGCACTGTCGATCACGTCGGGCAGGTGGGTATGGGGGGGGGGGAGTATGGGAGTGTCGGGAGGGATGGGGTTGGGGGAGGGTTGAATGGTGGGTATGGGGGAGGGGAGAGGGGGGAGGGGGGAGGGGGAGGGGAAGGGATATGGGAGAGGGGTGTGGTGGGTATGGGAGAGGGGTGGAGGGGGTATGGTGGGTATGGGAGTGGGAGGGGAGGGGTGGGGGTGTGGGGTGTGGGGAGGGGAGGGGGTATGGGAGAGGAGTGGGGGGTATGGGAGAGGGGTGGAGGGGTATGGTGGGTATGGGAGTGGGAGGGGTGGGGTGGGGGAGGGTTGAATGGTGGGTGGTAGGTATGGTGGTAAGTGGGTATGGTAGGTGGGTATGGGAGAGGGGGGGTTGTGAATGGTGGGTGGTAGGTATGGTGGTGAGTGTGTATGGTTGTGAGTGGGTATGGTGGTGAGTGGGTATGGGAGGGGGAGATGAATGGTGGGTGGGTATGGGAGGGGGTTGGGGGTGAATGGTGGGTGGTAGGTATAATGGTAGGTAGGTATGGTTGGTATAGGGAGGGTAGAATGGTGGATGGGTAGGTATGGTGGGTGGTGGATATGGTGTTGTGTGGGTATGGTATACATGGTAGAATGGTGGTTGGGTATCGGACATGGTATGTATGATGGTTGATGGAATTAATGGTATGTTAACATTATAAACCACATTAGGCAGATGGGTATGGGGTATAGTGGGTATAGTCAGGGTATGAGGAAAATAGGTGAGGCTATGACAGATATGTTTTACTGTTAGTTATAAGTATTTTTGTGCTACGAACACGTTAGTTATAAACTTTGGTGGGTATAAGAATTGATAAAAATAATTAAGGGTATGAATATGGGTATAATGGCATTGCAAATCACGTTGAAAGGGTGGGGAATCAACATTGCTAGCAACAAAGGAGTGGAGAGGGAAAGGAGAGAACATGCTAATTTTTTTTTGTCTAAAAATAGCCGTGTAAAGTTTTGAAAATAAAGTAAAATTAAATAAAAGATGAATAAATTATATTGGAAAAAAGTCTGATGGACACACAAGGTTGCATATATTATCTTTTGATTAAATTAATGTTCACATTAGCATGACCTCCGAGCATCTTTCATTCAATAGCCTGCCAATTCTCTTGCAAAAAGAAAATAAAGAATAAAAATTAAAAATTAAAAAAAAATAGGTTAAATGGTGGTTAACAACATTTCATTGAGGGAGGAGGTATATATAACACCATTTCCGAAATACGTATATCAAACAGAATATCAGTAATATTATAATCACCATCATTATCATCATTATCATTACCATCATTATCATCATTATCATTACCATCATTATCATCATTACCATCATTATCATCATTATCATTACCATCATTATCATCATTACCATCATTATCATCATTACCATCATTATCATCATTACCATCATTATCATCATTATCATTACCATCATTATCATCATTATCATTACCATCATTATCATCATTACCATCATTATCATCATTACCATCATTATCATCATTACCATCATTATCATCATTACCATCATTATCATCATTACCATCATTATCATCATTACCATCATTATCATCATTACCATCATTATCATCATTACCATCATTATCATCATTACCATCATTATCATCATTACCATCATTATCATCATTACCATCATTATCATCATTACCATCATTATCATCATTACCATCATTATCATCATTACCATCATTATCATCATTACCATCATTATCATCATTATCATTAAGATCACCATCATTATCATCATTATCATTAAGATCACCATCATTATCATCATTACCATCATTATCATCAT